GGGGGGTTCTGTTTGTTTGTTGTTGTTTATTGTTGTTTGTTGGGGGGGTTGCGGGGGTGCTCTTAGTTCAGTTTCCTGTTCTACATTATACTTTCCATCCACCCTAAATGTATGTTGACTGATTTAGCACAACTTGCCTTGTTCCAGCCGACGCTCTGGTTGAATGAGAGTGAGAGAGTGAGGTAGATGATGTTGTTGTTGTTATTATGAAATTGTTGTTTTGAGATGGTTCAGAGAAATGCATTGCTCTTTGACAGGGGTTTGTTTTGTCATACTTTGGGCTCAGTCAGTTTACATCAGAACATACCTTGTTCTTTTCGTTAAATTTACAAAGTTTGTCATTTTGAGTTTTCATGCGTGTAGTGTAAGATTTTTTCTTCTATTGTTCAATCATTTCACTTGGCTTACGGTTATGGTACATACTCCTGTTTATATCAGCACAAACAAATGGCCAAGGGGTGGACTTAAAATTGAAACGGGAGAGATATCGGGTAGAGATAACAAAATAGCAATGATCTAGGCCAGTGATGTGCAACATTCTTTGACGGTGTTCCAATGTTCAAATGTGGCCGGTCAATGAGAAATGTTGCACACCCTTGACCTTGGCCCAGATTATCTTGAAAGCGACATATTCATTTTCCGGTTTTGAGAGAATTGAACATTTGTTTTTCACACTTTTAATGAATAATCTTGAGCAGCTTTGGTTGAACCCAATCCGTATGCCTGGGGTCATTTTGTATCCCAGGGGTTGTATTCTTCACATTTTAGAATACTTTTAGTGCTAGTGCTAGGCTCTCTTTGAAACTTTCAGTATTTCTCAAAAAATCATTTTGACAGACTGCTATGCAAAGCGTTCGGATCGGATTATCGAGTAAATTTCCTCTTTGGAAAGTGGGGACACAGAGTTCCCCACTTCGTATGGATACGATAGTAAAACATGACATACAGATAGGGTTAAAAGTAAACAAGATGTAAGGCTTATTTGATATTTGCAAATTGTGAAATCTTTGTTGGATTCTTATCCTTTAAATTGATGAGATCCCCACATATTTTTGACTGACCAAACGCAACATATCCTCATTCCAGTAACATTGAAGGAAAAGAGCCACCGACAAACTTTCATCCACTACGGCGACTTCAATTATACATGTATTGTGTGGGTGTGCTTCTTTAAGTCCAACTCAAACTAAGTAAGTAACTGAGCTCATTTTTTTTTCTCCCCAGGAAACCACCATTTCACTGGTATCACGTGTAACCATCTTGTGATCTCACAAATTGGAATCGTTCTCCTGATGTTGACTTTGGATTTAGTGACACATAGAGAAAGAGAGAGAGAGGGGGGAGGACAGAGAGTCTGAGAGAGACGGCGAAGATGGAGGGAGAGGGTGAGAGAGGGGGGAACTTGATTGATGGTCAGCGATTTCATGTTCATTCGTTGGTTGTTTCAGATTTAGTGACAGAGACTTGAGTAATGATGATGCTCCAAGACTAAGATTTTGTGTTTTTCTGATGTTGACAAAAGACATAGGCTTCTCTGTAATAAAAATAAAATGAATATTTAGTGACTGGGATTTGATTACTGCTCTGCCATCATTCCGTGTTCTTCACATGGTGACCATAGATGTACTGACATGGACTTGATTGATGCTTTTTACAGACTCTACCATTCTGTGTTCTTCCACTGGTGACGTAAGATTTATTAAGTGACTTCGACTTAATTGATACTTTACGGACTCTACCGTCCTGTGTTCTTCACTCGGTGACAATAAAAGTATTTAATGACATTGACATGGACTTAATTGATGCTGTATGGACTGGACCATTCCATGTGCTTCCAGTGGTGACTGTAGGTTAGTGACAAGGACCTAATGCAGGCTAATGCTGGTCTTTGATTCCATTTTCTTTTGGTTGTGTCTTCAGATTTTGCAACCGACTTGACTGATGCTTTACAATTTACAGACTCTGCCATTCCATGCTCTGTTGGAGGCATTGACAATCTAGATATTATATATCATGTGATTAACCTTTTTGCCATTTCATGTTCTGTTCATGGTGACTTGGGATTAAGTTTCAGATTTCAACTTGTGATGCGATGCTCAACTTTGCCATGTACTTCTGTTCACAATGGTCAGAATCTAATGACTAATGTTTTGGACTTGGCTCAAACTGTTGTATTTTTAGCAGGGTTCACACAAAGTACTGTCAGACCTCGTTTTACAGCCCCCCTTTATTATACCGCCAGCCCCACTTACCACCAGGTTTTGCCAAAACATGAAAAGGGATGCCTGCACTTTAACATAGTATAAATATTTGTGCCTTCACACCGCCATCTGCCAACTGTCTGAGCTGTACGGTCCTTATTTAACTGATGTAAATGTGCCCCACCATACCGCCAGCCAACTTACCGCCAGAGGTACACAATACACAACACCCACTGGCTGGCTACTTTATCATCTTTCTCCGAGAAAGACACAGCGGTAGAGAAAGAAGACTCTCGGCTCTGAATACATGTATCACTGTTATCACCAACAAAAAGACACTTTGCAAACACATTGAACTGCAGAATCATGTTCCTTGACGTTTGGCAGTCTGGGTTATGCAACAGAGAAACCCTGTTGAGCTTGAACTGCCAGCCTTGCTGTTCCGCCAACTTCATGCTCATCCCAAGGGCGGCGGTATAATGAAGTTTGACTGTAATGTACTGTGCATAACGTATGTGTGTATGTTTTGGTGTGCATGAAAAAAGACAATAAGAAGTGGGATTGGATGGGGGGGAAGGGGGGGGGGTTGCATATTTTGCCCCTTATACATTCATTGTGTATCAGTACGTATGGTTGAAAATCTTATGAATAAAATATTGAAATGAAGCTGCAAGAGGTTATGTAACTTGCACAAAGCGTGTGTGCATGTGTGTGTGTAAAAGCTGAAAGTGCTTTTGATGAGGTGGATTGTTATGAATCATGGAAGACCTCACACAGTTCTGTCAGTTCAAAACGAGTGCTGTCTTTTTATTTTGTTGTTGTTGAAAGATCTACTACTTTAATGGATTCATTATAGAATCTAGTCATTTTGTTCTTGTTCTACATCTTACCTTTTTATAAAGGCAAAGGAGTATAAAAAAATTAAAATTAAAGAGAGCATTCCTTACACTTACCCATGTCAGAATGTTTTGATTTTGTTCTTGTTGTTCTGTACACATGCAGTTATCTGAGTGGGTGGTTGGAGGGTGCTACTGGTGGGTCCTACTTCTTTTCTAAGATCTTGCTTTTCTTGTTTCCAACGTGTAGGTCTATCTGTCATTAAATGACGGTTATTATCTGCAACTGTACAAAACGATGTATCATGTGCTTCGGGGCTGTTCAAATATAATCTTGCACCCTTTTTGGGACTTTTT